ATAGAATTCGGAGATCTTTCAAATGATACCTCGAAAAAAGGGCTGACCCCTTAATTCAGGGGCCGAGAGAGGCCGAACGTTTTTCCTTTATATCTCCAAAAGTATTTAGAATTTGTAATACGTCAAAGAAGCAAAGTTGTTCAAAATGACAAGCTTAATCTACTGGCGTCGTCAAAATACGTCCGACGTCGTCACTTCCGGTCAAACCGGAAGTAGTCGAAAAACACAATTTTTTGCCGTTCTTGACAAGTTTTTGGGTTACATATGTCTCTGGAAGCATAAAAAGTAATTTTTCCGTGCGTCGTCGTCACTTCCGGTCAAACCGGAAGTTGCAAAAAATGGCTTATTTTGAAGGTTTTGATGCAAAATTGAAATTATAAAGTCACTGGAGACTACTTAGCTCATTGCTTTCTTTTGTTCCGTAACTTCCGGTCAAAACCGGACGGAAGACCTACTCGTTGCTTTGCAACGAGCTTTGCTCTAGTTATTATTATTATTCTTTTTTCTTCTTATTTCTTCTCCGGTACTTTTTTGTCCGGAAGTGTTCTCAGAAACTGTTCACCAAACTAAGTTAAAACCTTTTTAGGGTTAATGGGTGTGTAGTGTAGGTGTGCGGAACGAAGGTCATTTTGCGCGCATACGCCTGCACGTGCGGGCGCGTGAGGTGAGTGAAATGACTGATATAGTTATTATGGCCATAACTTTTACATTTTTTGATGAAATGCTTTGAAACTCATTACATAAAGATATATTAATTGTGTTAATATCATGACACTGTCATATTAGCACGAACTCACGCGCGTGCACGTGAGCTTCGATCTGATTGGCTGAAACAAAAAACTCAATATCTCTTGTTTTTTAACGAAATGCTTTGAAATTTTAAACATAGTAATGAACTAGGATATTCTACAATATGATATCAAAAAAATTTCAAGAAATCACGCACATGCACGTGTGCTGCAATCTGATTGGCTGAAACTTTAAAAGGCTATATCTCCTTTGTTTTTTGATGAAATGCTTTGAAATTTAAAACATAGTCATACTTTAGAATACCCTGCAATATGATATACAGAAAAATTTATGAAATCACGCGCATACACGTATGCTGCATTTTGATTGGCTGAAACTTTAAATGGCTACATCCCCTTTGTTTTTTGACGAAATGCTTCGAAATTTAAAACATAGTTTTACATTAGGATATCCTGCAATATGATATACAAAAAAATTCATGAAATCACGAGCATGCACGTGTGCTGCAATCTGTGTGGCTGAAACTTGAAATGGCTATAACTCTCTTGTTTTTCAACCAAACAGGATGGGATTCAGAACATAGATAAATATAAGAAACTCTACAATGGTCATCATGCACGTGCACGCGCGTGCGTGCTTTTGGAACGAGTGAAATTAAAAATACACTTAAATGAGTGATTTTTAATACTTTTGGACTGAATGCTTTGATATATAGTATATTTAAATATTTAGATAGTGTAGACAAGATGATATGGTCATAACGCACATGCATTCACATGCGCACGGGTGCAATGCTAAAATTTGAATATAATTGGTATCCTTCTGGGTAAATTTTGTTAAAGTCTAAATTACCAGAATTTGTCTTATTTAATGAAGCTTACAGGGAATATGGCATCAAAAGGGAGTTGAGGAGCGTTTGGGGAACATCTGTAACGGTTCCCGTTACAATTAGCACTAGTTATTTATGTTGTTTGGCAATCTCCCCGAAAATATAACAGTAACAAAAGTAAAGGAATAAGAATGGTCATTTATTCAAACAAGTGCAATAAATGACAAACAGTAAAAATACATACAATCAAATTAAAAGGACTAGGGACAAAAATATTATGCTATGAAATCGCAAGGTCGGTGCACGATTCTGACTAGAAAAAGAAACGAAAAATACTATTGACAACAACTAAGCACCTGTGTTAAAACTAAAAAACGTCCCTGAGTCTCAATCGTAAAAATTGTTAATCCAAGAAACAGATATCTAAAAAATGTCCGCATATATACATGTACAACAAAAAGACAATATGGGGCGTCATCTGCCACCGTAACAAGGTAGCATTGTAATACCGGCGCAAGAAGGAAAAGAAGCTCATGCTGGCTTGTTACCGCCCCCCTCCAACAACATCATCATAGACAAAACAAAAATTAAATGTCACACCATTTTCTTGCTGAAAATTACTATAAAGATCGAATGAAAGTGTTATGTACACAAATCAAAATACATCGATGGACAATACTCTAGAAGTTAAGGTTTTACTTGAGCCCCTGTCTCAAGACAAATTACTAACATTAACCATACTTAGAGCCCCTGTCTCTAAGTAACAATGTCATATTAAGGATTACCTTAAGCCCCTGTCTTAAGGTAAAAACGAGTTGTTGTGGCAAAAAAAAAAAAAAAAAAAAAACACCTGAAGCCCCTGTCTCCAGATAATCTTAATACGGGGTAATAGAAGGAAGGCGAATGTACTTCCTAAAGACACTGGACTTCCAACGACTCATGTTTTGAATCTGAATTTCTGTGTATCCCGTTGCAGCAGCTGTTGTTGCTGCACCTACACAGCCAATTGTGCCTAACGTTAATTTAACATGAAAATAACGGTAATTTAATGTTAAATATTTAACGTTAAGTTAACGTCAATCGAGCTTATACATGAATTTAACGTTAAAAAATTAACGTTAAATTAACGTTATTTTCATGTTAAATTAACGTTAAGTGTTAAATTAACGTTAATTAGTTCACACTAATTTAACAATAAAATGCATAAAAATTGTGTGCATATTTTTGGAATCATCCATCCTATTCTTCCAGAAAAATACATGTTCCTGCATCATAGCAGAAGCTTAACTGATACTACATGTAATCATAATTAATTCTCTAAAGGTACACCAGAAGCTCATCAGTTTTGCACTTTTCCTTGTAGCACTGCAGAAAGCTAGGCTTGCATGTTGACTTCATCCCTGATGTCACTTTCTTTTCAATTGGAATATATCCAAAAGGATAAAGGGACCCATCAGCTCTTTCAACAAAATCTCTAAAATTCTGAGCATTGCCTCTGATTTCAAATTTTCTGAAGAAAATAGAAAAACACCAATTCATCCATTAATACTTTTAATCAGGCACATTCAATACAATGCAACAAATCTTCTTTCTTTTTCCAATCTGAAAAAGAAGAGAGGCAAACACATATATTATAATAATTATATGAAAATAAAATACTTCAGCAATACATAAACAACTCAAATTCGTCTAAAATATAATGAATGAAACAAGTGGTCCATTGGTCACATCCCTCACCTGAGCACATGGGCTAGCTAAAAACACAGATCAGTTAAGTATTGAGAAGCTTACTTTATACTTAATGGGGGAGGGGGATTTGAATTTTCTATTACTTGAAAATGTCACTGTTACAATACAGCATACATATATTATTTTGCCATACTTGAAAAGAAGACTTTTTAAGATTTTTCCAACACATTACCTGATCTCCCATTGTGACCCCTCGCTAACACTCAATCCCCAGGGCATTATTTGAATAAATTTTAAATTTTTACTACTTGCAGATCATGTCAATTTGACAAAACAATTTTTTTCTGTTCTGGAGAAGATTGTTTTTCATATGTATTCTTATGCAAGTCTGTGATAACTCATTGTGGCCACACCCTTACCCCGGGGGTCATGATTTGAACAAATTGAATCTACATTAATACCTATGGATGCTTCCACACAACGTCATGAGATTAATCATTCCTGTCCTAATGGTTCTGAAGAAGATTTTTAAAAGGTTTTTTCCTATGCATTCCTATGTAAATTTTGGTCGGCCATTGTTGCTCCATCATACCCCCGGGGGTCATGATTTGATCAAACTTGAATCTACACTACCTGAGGATGATTCCACATAAGTTTGGAGAAGATTTTAAAAAGGTTTTTCCTATGCATTCCTATGTAGAACTTGGGAACAAATTTGAATCTACATACACTACAGGGTCAAGAGGTCATAGATGTGCGTATCGATAAATGTACAATGGAATTTCACAGTGACGTAAAAGAAGGGTCGACACGCATTCAGTGTCTTGTATACATGCCATTGGTTTTGAAAAATAATGCATTTCGCATGTTAAAAGCCACAAACAGCGTGATAAAGCAAATATAAAGTACGAATAAGTTGCAAATGAAAATATAAGAAATAAGGTATCATTTTAAAACATCCAAACGGGCTAAAAATACGGGTTGGTACGAGATTAAATTCATTATAATTCCCTTCAGGCTTTATGTAATTTAATCTTGTAAGTCTTGACCAACCGATAGTTATGTTCGGATAGATGTTTAAAAATACCTTATTTCTTAAGTAAGACTGAAAGTCCATTGTGCCCCCCCCCCCCACCCTGGGTTGAAGAGGCTTGAAAGTACACTATCTGAGGATGCTTCCATTTAAGTTCCATCTTTCCTGGCCCAGTGGTTCTTGAGAAGAAGTGGAAAATGTGAAAAGTTAGCAGATGGACAGACAGACGCCGAACAAAATGTGATCTGAAAAGTTCACTTGAGCTTTCGGCTCATGTGAACTAAAAAGCTACTAGTATTTAAAAACTATATACTTCCGTATATATTACTATACAGATTGGCAAACAGACATTGTGTTTCCAGTATACCTTCAAAAAAATTAAGGGGTGACATATTAAATGGGTTTAAATATTTGATATGTGTTCGGAATAAATGCAATTTACCTGGTATTTTGAAGATTGCTTAAGGTGATGAAATATATTCACTTTCTTGTGATTATCATGTTCATGTCAGCAAGACTTTATACTGAGTAAACCTACAGTTATAAAAAAAAATAATAAAAAAATAATTTATTTGAAATGTAATATCTTCAACATATATGATATTCATAGATAGAAACCAAATTTTATGTACAGCGTCTGATTCAAAGCAAACTTTTAGTACAGTGAAAGCAACTTGGCTTTTAATTTGTCTCTTTAGCATTAACTCTAGATCAATTTATAAAATTTTTTAAATAAAAATTATGAATACACTATGTATATACTATTTTTTAAATAAACTTTATTCCTGCATGGTTATCCTGAAAAACATCAATTCAAGGAGGCGACACGGAATGGTATATAGAGGCTGTAGTCTGCTCTTTTCTCCATGTCTTGCATACAAGTATCTTTTCTGTATTATGCAGTAAAAGAAAAAATCTTGATTTAATAATGCTTATAGAATGTTTCTAAACAAAATATTGACAAGTGTCAAGTAGTGACAAGTACTTAACTGGTATTTTAAAAATTCAGTTGGGGTGTGTGAATGTAAATTTCACTGTCATTACATTTACTGTGGGAATTATTTACATTTTGTTTCACTTTCAATACCTGTTTTGAGTTCCACTGGCATTATAATTTAGGCAGCTGGGTTCTTCCGAGTCTCGACGACAAAGTCCTATTTGATCCATTTCAGAAGTTCGAGTCAGATGCGATACCGAATTCCAGCTGTTTAAAATACAATAAAAATAGATATCAAATCGCCTTTAATCGGGTTTTTTTTCTCGATAATGATGAAACCAATTAAGAGAACTGTTAGAATCAGGGAAAACATTGCTGACATTGCGTGTTTAACTTCAACTTCGAGATGGTTATTGTTAACTTGTACACAATTTCTACTTTCACTTTCGAATTTTCTCCGTATCGTACGTAGGGCAGCAGTACTGATGTACCGGTAGGCTTCAGTGCTCAAACAAATAACCAACTGAACAATAAATAGACCTAATAAAAGTAGTAATTCTGATATACAAATATCCAACATAGCAGAGATCTGGCACGTCGTTCACAGCCTACGACACAATACTGTACTACAACATAGCCTGCAAGGACTGTTGAGTAATTATGCGTAAAGTTGCTGTACATAAAGTTCAAACATTTAGGGACCTCAGAAATTATGAAACTCTCAAAAACGTTATATTACAAAGACTACAAAACACTTACTTGATAAATCCTTTATCCTCTGTGTTTTCAATTTCTGTTACAGCTGATGACGTCAAACATGACGTACAATTTCGTCCGATAAATACAAAACCGATCCTGAGAAAAGCTTCAGACCATTTTTAGCCGGAAAAAATCCAAATCCAAGTTGACATTTTGAAAGATAGACATAGAGCATAAAATTTTTAAGTCTAGATTAACTACTTTTTTAAGAATGTATGAAAAAAAATGGACGAGGTGAAGAGGGTGATAACAGTTAGAGCACCCTCCCTTTCCCAAACCCACACGTGTAACACACACACTTACACAAACACAAAGGCACTTACAAGTGTCGGAAATGAATTGTGTCGGAAATACTTTTTGAACCTATGGTATAATACTTACGCAACTGTTATCTTTATATATATATATATTGTATATTGGCGTTAAAAATTTATTTCCGACACAAGTGCCAATTCCCCCCCCCCCCCCCCCCCCCCACCGCCAACCCCCAACCCCGGCGGTTTTGAGTATCCACATATAGACATCTTAATAATTTATTAATTAAATGTCACTAAAATGATTGGCAAGTATTAATTGTTTAAAGTTAGGTCTAAAATTTGAATAATAACATTAATCTCGTGTTGTTCTAATTAACATGAAATTAACATTAAAGAATTAACGTTAAATTCTCATTAACATGAAATTAACGTTAACTAATTAACGTTAATCTAATGTTAATATTTTGGTTCTAGTTTTTTAAGACAGAACCCAAGCTCACTTAAAATTAAATGTTAATTTAATGTTAAAAATTAACTGAAATTAATGTTAAGTTAAATTAACGTTAAAAATTAACATGAATTTAATGTTAAGTTAAATTAACGTTAAAAATTAACGTTAAATTAATGTTAACCTTTTTACCGTTAACTTAACACGAAAGTAACATTAAACTAACATCAAGCTAACGTTAATTTAATTTTAATTGAGATTAACACTAAATTAACGTTAGGCACAATTGGCTGTGTATCCTGAAACCGTGGGCCTGATATTTTGAAAGATCTAAATTGCTAAATTTAAGAGCTAGCCGAAGTTGTGAAGTAAAATATTTGCGGGGAACTGGGGTGTTGTCCATAAAAGAAAAAAGGGGTGCTTCTGGGGAATCGTGTTTTCTGATGTTAAGGAAATCTGTGATCGCGCGATACGGACATAGCAATGGGTTTATGGTGTTTTGACATAGGTGGATAGTTGTAGAATTTGACTTTGAATGTTTGAAATGAGGTATTGCAACTTCCAGGAAACCTTTGCCATTTGTTTTGTTACCCTTTGATACGTGTTTTACTAATAGATAATGATGGGCTTTGCTGTTGGTTTTAGTAATTTCTCCTACCCTTAGAAAGGCGCAATAAGCTAAGATAAACATGGCCCGAAGCAAAATTCTGGAAAAATATGAATCTGCAGTGTAGGGGAGGGCCAGTACTAGTTCTAGGAGAATATCTGGGGTTATTGGGAGTCTAGGGTCGCCAATCGGTTTTGCTTTTAGAAAGCCTTGAAGCATTTTTTTGATGATGAAATGTTGGGTAACATCCTGGGAAGAACTTAACTGAAAAATGAAACTAAGAGCGGATATAATGGTTCGAGTAGTGGACGCAGCTAAATTTGTTTGGTAACAATTTGCTATGAAGTAAGCTAGGTGTTCCAAACAGGGTGGTAGTGGTGACGTTTTCTGACCGTAAGTTTGTAATATAAAGAGCTTGTATGCCTGGAATGCTGATTTATATGCTGCAACTGTGGACGGTGATAGAGAACGATACAGCAAGAACTCTGCGGTTTGATTCAGAGACTTATCAATGCTGGGTTCACAGGGGTGCAGGCCGGATCCATGTAAGGAAACCGTGTTTGGAACTCTTTGACCTGCAATCGAGAAAGTAGATCTGCAGCTATATTCTTGACTCCTTCAATATGTTTAGCTTGAAAATGTATATTGTATGTTAGGGATAAGACCATCAGTCGTCTCATGAGTTGCATAAGCGATGCATCTTTAGAAGAGTTTTTGTTGATGACGTGAACAACTGCTAAGTTGTCAGAGTGCAGAATAACAGTGCTGTTAGAAAATAAGTGTCCCCATATATCGAAAGCGATCACAATAGGCAGGAATTCCCTGACGGAGATGTGAAAATCAACCCATTGATTAGGAAAAGGAGCATAAAACCATTTCTTACCAAAGGTACAGCCGAGCCCCAGATTGCTAGCGTCCGTAAATAAGTGCAAAGAGGAGGATGTGTGTTGTACCCCCGAGGAGAAAAAGGCTTTGCCGTTAAAATGATCCAGGAAAATGGCCCATGCTCTCAAATCGGCTCGGGCTTCTTTGTCTAGATTCCTATGATGAAAAGGATTTTGCAAACCTCGAGTAAGATTGATAACCCGCCTAAGGAATGTGCGTCCAGGGGGAATAACTGCGCAAGCATAATTTAAGGAAACTATCAATGACTGCAATTGGCGGAATGAAGTGGTGCGTTTATTTTGAAATGATTTTATTTCAGATTTTAAACGCTGCAACTTATCCGCTGGAAGTCTAATTTCCAATTTTATTGTGTCTAATTCCAGCCCCAAAAATGTCAAGGTGGTAGTTGGGTGAACAGTTTTCTCGGATTTGATAGGGAGATTGATATCTTTGGCAAGGGAATAGAACGCTAAAAGTGAACTATAGCAGTCTGGGGACCTGGGGGACCCACGAAAAGGAAATCATCTAGTATGTGCACACAATAAGTTACACCAAACTTGTTCTCTAAGATCCACTGCAAAGCTGATCTGAACTTCTCAAAGAGATGGCAAGAATAACTCAAGCCAAATGGAAGTGTTTTGTCATAAAAATATGACCCAGATATCTTGAAACCTAGCAGTTCGAAATCCTGTGGATGTATGGGTATTTGTTTGTAGGCATTTTCCAGGTCAGTTTTTGCGAGAAGAGCCCCCCCCCCCCCTGCCAACTTGTTTGATAATTGCGATGGCTGTGTCAATTGATTGGTAACTTACTGTAGTCATTTCTTTAGGGATGTGGGAATTGATGGAGTTCCCTTCCGGGTAAGACAAATGATGGATTAACCTAAAATCCCCAGGGGCTTTTTTAGGGACCAGACATAAGGGGGAAATTTTAATATTTTGGAAAGGTGGCAATAGAAAAGGACCAGAGACTCTTTTAGCTTCGATTTCCCTACAGATCTTGTCCTGTAATATTTTTTCTTTGCCTAAGATAGAAGATAGGTTACGAGAAGACCTAAATTTACGCTCCCTCATATATGGGATCTTAAAACCTTGAGAGAAGCCTTCTATTAAAAACTGCGATAAAGAATGGTCATATCCAGCTAAATAATTTTGAAGCTGTTGAACATTGATCGGAGTAACGATAGAATCAGAGTTTTTTAGAGGGGGCTGTCGATTCTGTTTTGTTAGCACCTTGTTTGGAGTTCTGTGTCTGAGGTTTGTCACTTGGTTTAAACTTTGGGCATTGTCTCTTGTGGTGTCTAGCTGCACAGATTTGGCAGACATGGGGGTGTGGACATCCTTTAGTTTTACAGAATCCGTTATTGTTGTATGAGAAGCACTAGCGGTGCTTAGCCTGGGTGTTTGAGGCACGAAAGGGCTGGTTTCTATTTTTAAACTTAAGCTCTAGTCCCTGTGCCATGGCTTCCTGGTACAATTCTATATTTTTGGATTGCCATGGGCAGGCTTTGGGATCCGGTTGTCGCCAGCGTCGCAAACTTTCATCGTAGGCAATTGACGCCTTGTCACCGCTTGATTTAGAAATTTTTTGCACGATCTGGCCGTATACCATAAGATTTGGTACTTCGTTAGGGTGTTTTTCCGCGTAGATAGCAACAAAAACATGAAAACACTCTATCCATTTGTAGATAGAAGTGATTTGGGTTTTGTCTGAAGTCTTTTTAAAGATCAGATGTCCGTCTTTTTCTACTGTCTTGTAACTTTCTTCTTCATCAGGGTCAATGGGTTTAATTAGTGAAGCAAGTTTGACGTACTGGCCGCTCTGAATTTTTGCCCGTGTTTTTTGATCTACGCCTAACGTTAAGGACAAGGCAGATAGGGCCTGGGGGGGATCTGAGTTAACTACACAATCTTTGTTCATACTATCTAGAGATTGATCACCTGTAATCTCACTAAGGAGTGTAGTTGCTGGCGACGTCGTACTTGGTTCCAGTGGCCCTGGTGGCGGAGGCGAAGATGCAGTTGGCTGAGGCGAGAATGCAGTTGGCGGAGGCGAAGATGCAGTTGGCGGAAGCAAAGATGCAGACTTGGACTTAAAATAATCGTCCATACACGTTTTTAACGTCTCCTCGATCGTCGGCATGATTTTCGACATGCATTGATGGAAAATTATACTAACGTCTTCGCTTCTCCTCTCTGACGTTGTTGTTGTGGGTGGATCCTGACGTTTGGTCGAGGTTCTTCTTCGTTTTGGTCTCGAAGCCATCCTAAGAAAATTCATAAGTCATAAATAAGGTGGTAATTAGAAACAACTATAACGAGTGCTACCAATCAGTGTTTACTGAAATTGTCATTATAATCAGAACCATTAAGGCCTGCATTAACTGCATATATGGTTACAAATCATATCTTTTGTTTACTATTGATAATTATGAAGTAGTATATTATATAAATATATGTGTGTACATATTTTGCCAAAATCGGCCGAATTATTAAGCCGTGTGGATGAATCATATGAAAGCAACAACTGCTAGAGCAGTGTGATATCAAATCATAATATAAAATATATATCACCGCTATATACCGAAGCTGTGGGATCGGATCGTATATAACCACTATCCGCCGAAGCAGTGTGGTAACAAATCATGATCCATATACATATAAAAAACCATATTGCCGAAGCAGAATGGTTCAATCACCACTATATGCCGAAGCTGTGGGGTTGGATCGCATATAACCACTATCTGCCGAAGCAGTGTGGTAACAAATCATGATCCATATACATATAAAAAACCATATTGCCAAAGCAGAATGGTTCAATCATATAAA